AATATAACTCAAAAAAAAAAAAAACTTGTTACAAGAAGCAAGTTCTGAAACATAAAATGCAGAATTTCTTATCTTTTAACAATTAATTTATAAAATCTCTTAGGTATACCAGACTCATAAAAATAACTTCTAATAAGTTCAAAATATATTAAAAAACATAGTGTAAAAGAAATAAAAACATATCTGTATTTTGTACCTATTATCTTTATATTACAAAAACAAATTTAAAAAACAAGAAGCTGAGTGCTTAAAATAAGCATTACGTCTATGCCGATACCATAAAGAATCAGTTTAAAATGAACATGTAGCGGTCACAAACTGATTCTTTTAAATTGATTCTTTGTGGTATCGGCATAGACATGATGCTTATTTTGAACACTCAACTTCTTATTTTTAATTTTTTTTTTCATATAAAGATAATAAGTATAGAATATACATATATTTTTATTTTTTTATATTATGCTTTTTAATATATTTTGAGTTTATTAAAAATTATTTTTTATGAGTGTGACATGATTAAGAGATTTTATAAATTAATTGCTAGCGGTCACAAACTGTTAGAAGTAGTTTTGGGTGCTTGAATTCGACACTCGATGGACAATTTGAAACAAATATGATAACTAAAATGAGATACAAATACAGATAGAGCACGAATACACCTGTAAATGACCTTTGAGAAGGGAACAAAAGCTTCTTAGGAGCTTAGCCTAGAATTTCACCTCCAGAATTTTCACATATTTATAAATCTTGCAGCCAAATCTTCCAAAACAATCCCTTCAGATGCAGCGAAAAATGCTAGCACATGGCTTATAAAGAGTTTCTTCCAAAACAATCTCCACTTGGTTTTGATTGAATAGTGTGTGATTGCATCACATCAAGACGAGAAATTGCTACAAAAATTGGAAAGGTTGTAGCTGTCATTGTAGACATAGAATTGAGGACTCCCCGTCAGTTGTCGGGTTTGAGAGAACTTACCCCCTTTTTTTATTATTTACAACGCACATGAAAATCTATGAATAAAGTTCATAGTCAAAGTAATACATATTTCCACTGATTACCAAACCAGAAATCAATAAATTTCGGTCACAAGTTTACAATGTGATGATTGCTACTTTTATATCGATTAACATTAAGCTATGAAATCATTTCAGGATTGAAACATTCTGCAAAACAAAGTTTACAAGAATTCTGATCCGTAATTACTTGACCAAGGAGTAAACTAAACTTGAAATTAAAATGAGATAGATCCTTGTTATAAATTGATTAAAGAACAACCATGTATTCTGGATAGAGACTAAAGAGAAGGACAGGGTGAGGTGATTGCAAAAATAGGTGTTAGGTTCTTCTAATGTGGATGGTTAAATTTGGAATTCTTTTCCACCCATATATTTTCTCAAGGCTTCAGGTATATCTACACCATTGTCCTTCGGATTCTTCTCAAGTCAAATACAGTTTCAAAAGTTCAAGCTCATTTCTTTTAATTTTATTTGAAGTTCTTTTTTGTGATGAAGGTTTGCGGAGAGATTATCTATAAAATATAATTTTAGAGTAAAATGTGCTCTAAAAAGTGATCTTTATTAAGAGATTTATATGTGGACATACATGCACAGTTGCCTCCCCCCCTGCCACCTCCCCCGCCCCCGCCTCCGCCTCTGCCTCCACCTCCTCCATGACCACCAGCACCATATCCTTCACCGCTCCCATATCCAGACCCAGAACCATAACCTGACCCGAGTCCTGATCCAGAACCACCACCACCACCTCCTCCCTGCCCTCCACCTCCACCTCCACTGATTGACTGCAGTGTCCTAGCAGCAAAGGTGAGGTCTAAAATAAGCAAGACGAGGAAAGCAGTCCCTAACACTCTTGGGCTTGCCATTTCCAGATTATACTCTCACCGCTCAATGTATCTGTATGTTTATGCGTGTCACTCGCTATATGAGAAACCAGTACGCTTTGATGACTGGAAATGCTTGAAGGTGTAACCCTATATATAGGCATTGTAAAGGTAGCAAGAGAAGGTTTTTGAAAAGTTTGGCGTCAATTGTAAAGGTGACCAGACATGGTTTTTGAAAAGTTTGTTAAATTTCTTGTGCCTCTCATTTGTTAATCTTGACTTTTACAGGAGGGCGTCGGTGGCGGGGTGGCGGTACTGTGGAGGTCCGTCAGTTTCTGTCTATATGCAACAGAATACAAGCTTTATCCCCACCTTTTCTTTTTTGACTTAGAAGTGTCTTGTAATATTTGACTACGGCAAGGGGACCAATGGCATGCATTTCCCACTCTTTATCATTCTGTTCATATTAATTTGAGCTCCACTTTTGAGTACACGTATTAATTTTCCCATGTACTGGTAGCTGTCCTGCGGTGATTTGTGCTAACGATTGTCTCCTTACGCGTAAGTTTATCCGCTAACGGTAGTGATTTATGTACACAGATATCTTTCTACTCTGCGTGTATGCTAACAATGGGCTAAACTTCCACAACAAACTGGGTTGTTCAGTCAATATTTTCTTATTTCGGTTACACTTTCCGTCATTGAATATAAATAAATAGATCTGTGCTTAAAAACCGCGTTCGATTGTCTGTTCCGGTGTATGAAAGCATCACTGCTAGCAGAATGTTAGGCCATCTGCGTGGTTGATACACTGAACAGTCTTCTATTCTTGCACAGATTGGATTTCAGTTCCATATATATGCACAGATCATCACATCCTTTAATGGCATGCTTTAATAAGTCTATGTAACAGTACAAGAACATTTATTTTATTTTATTTTGTTATCGGCGATCTTCTATTCTGAATTATCTTTACTAATTAATAGTTGTTGTGCCTCGAAACATATCCTTTGTTTTCTTCCACTGTTTTTCTTGAACATGTTAATAGCAAATACCAATAGTTTTCAATTTTGGTGTGCTTCTTGATGAGAGAACTATGTCGATAAATTTTTTTATTGATATTTATACTTATAGTTTGATGGTATGAATTTTCCCAATCACTTCACTAATAAAAAACATCCATCAAAAAAACTTTTGTCTGTGATTTGTAGGATGTCAATAATAATTTTACTAATAAATTTATTAACAGACAAAGCATGCCAAAAACATTTACCGTTTTATTTCATCAAAATCTCCATCGATGAATATAACATATTACCAATATAAAATCCGTATATCATTCCATCAATGAATCTTTTTCGTCCATTGATATTTTCTCTAGTGAATTTGATAGATGATCATCAAATAAACTATTTGTTATTCCATTGGTGAGTAAATAGTGGTAGTCACATTTGAACTAATTATTTTTCAATTTTTTGGAATATATCAATAGTGTTAAACCATCAATAGCCCTGTTAATAATAATTTAAAAATATATTTTTAAATAACTATTAAATAAAAATATAAAATAATTAAAATAATATAATATAATATAAAAATCAAATATTCATTGCAAATTTAAACATTTATATATTCAAATACAATACCAAAGAAGAAGAAGAAGGCGACTCATCTCTAAAAATATGAGGCAAATAAGTGAGAGTAGATATATCATCTATCGATGATATTATTTTTATTAGCTGTCATAACCTATTTTTGGGTTATTCTTCAATTCACATTTTGTTTCTCTTCAAAAAAAATAATAAAATATAAATAATATAAATAATAAAAAAAGGATGCCAGAACGCCCTAAAAATGGTTAAAAATTGGTTAAGGAGGTTAAAAAATACAAAGATTAAAATTTGACAGTATTTTGTTGACTGATGACAGTCCTATTGACAAAGAAAATTCAATTTGAGTAAGCAAAGTCTAAAATCAGATGTTTATAGATTCAATTAAATTTTATTGAAGGTTTAATTGAATTTATGGAGAGTTTGATTGCAAGAAAAATTAATTTTGAAGTCAATTTGGGCTTTAATTAGAAGAAATTAAAGTTATGGGGTCAAATTATAATTTTTGAAAGTTAATTTGGTCATATCAGGGGCTTAATTGCATAAATATTGAAGTTTGATGGCCAATTAGGGACTTAATTAAAGAAATATGAAACCAAGTACCAAAATGGAAAAAAAATACATAAATAGAGGGACTGTAATTAAACTTGGATCAGGGGCCCAATTGAAAAAATTAAAAGTTTATTGATTAATTGAGAATTAAATTACATACATTCAAGACCAAGGACCAAAGGGAAAAAGACAGCCAATTTAAGGGCTGCTGTTAGATTTTTAACAAAGATGCAATTGAATTGATTTTTAAAATCAAAATTAAAATTAAAGACTTGATCAAACAAATTACAAATTGAGGACCAATATGAAATTAGACACATTTTGTTGCCTTTTTCTTTCAAATGAAACGACATGTTTTGACTAAAACGATGCCGTTTCATGCACTGTTTAAAAAAAAAAAAGGCCTGAAAGGGTGCTGTTTTGAATGACACCATCATCTTCTTCCCCTGGACATGTGAAACAAGGGAAGAAGAAGATTGTTTCTTCTTCCTCTGTCACTGCCCTCAATCCTTCCAAAAAGACACCGACACCTTCCAAAAAGACGCCGACCACTTTTCATGTCTTCGAAAGGCGGTGGAGGGGCGCTTGCACAGTGACTGCCCCTTGTCTCTCTCTCCTTTGTTTTTTCTATAAATATAGGGGAGAGCCAAAAACAACGAGACTGAAAAAGAAGACAACTAAAAGAGAGACAAAGGACCGAAAGAAGAGAGAAGAGAGAAGAGAGAAGAAAAAGAAAAGAAGAAAGAAGAAAAATAGAAGAAAAGGCAAAGAAAACAGAGAGAGAAAAGCAAAAGTAGCACTGCTGGTCCAGCCACTGTCTCCACCGCCACGAGCATCCGTCGACGACAACAAGCATGCTTCCTCTCACCGGGTACGTCTCTTTCCTTCTCTACTCCGTCAATTGTTTTTCTTCCATTGGCATGTAGAACGTGATTCACGTTTTGCAGTCAATGAATCAATTGGTTAGTTACTATGCTATGCATAGTAACCAGCCAATGATAATATAATGGGCCAGCCTTGGCCCATTTTGTAGGTTAGGCTAGTGTAGGCCCATTTTATTTTGGATTGAAGTTGGCCCATTTCATTTTAGGTTAGCTCAGTGCTAGCCCATTTTCATGTTGCCTCGGTGTCAGCCCATTTCATGGCAGCTTGGTGCTAGCCCATTTTGTTGTATGTTGGGCTTGTGTTGACCCATTTCAAATAAATACTCCATAAAAATACAAATTCAATATTAAAATACCTGATTTTCGTCAAAACTTTCAAAAATACAAAAAAAATTGAAAAAAAAAATTATTTTTGTGTATACGGCTAAGTGTTTCAAAGCTAAAAAAATCATATTGTGTTTTTCATACACTAAAAAACAATGTTTTAGCATGCATTTTGACTTTAATAACCAATTTATTAAAGTCAAGAGAACATTGACCAAAATTTTAAAAATAATAAAAATTTTATTTTATTTTGTTGTAGTATCAGGGATTACAAATTTATATGCAAAACATATTTTTGATATTAAAAGGATATTTTTTTAATGGCATATAACAGTTAGTTTCTTATCCCATTAAAATAAGAACCTTCTTATTGAGAAAGACTTGTCTTGAATCTTAAATAGACCAACAATTAGAAATCACAATACAATTTTAGATTTTTATCAGACAAAACAATGCAGTGTATCTTAGGTAGAGCGTATTTGAGGTGCTAATATATTTTCTTTACGCAACTAGTCTCCATACCCGATCTCTAAGACGAGTTAGAGTTTTTAATAATTAAAATATTAAGTGGTGAATCCCATTCAAAATTTTCACGGATAAAAAACAAAAATTCCTTATCTCTTTATATTTCGTCAAAAACACACATTCTATATTTTTCCAATTAACATAGTTTAGTTTAATCATCCCAGTACGGAGGCGTTGATAATCAACAAGCTCACTTTGCAACTTCTAATGGCCTTTTGGCCGCCTTCGGTGAGGGATAAAACAACTCCATGTGACATTTCCGTAGAGAGAGGTAAGTAATTTTTCATACCGACGATGACTCGACTCCATTAACCAGGTCCGACTTTTACTCAGAAATTCTTTTTGTAGAGAGAGGTTGAGTATTTTCACTCGTGACATGGTTTTTTTTACTGCATTCAAAGTTAGCACTGCGTCTATCCTGAGCTCCAAAGCAGATTTTCAATTTTAGAAAGAACAAGCTCTTTTCTTTTAATTTTATTTCAATTCCTTTTTTTGTGATGAGATCTAATTGTTCTTATGGAAACGAAACATGCGCATTTGGTTTGGTTTTGCGGAGAGACTATCTACAAAATATATTCTTAGAGTAAAATGTGTTCTTTATTTATAGCATTTGAAAAAGAGACTTTATCCATAGTATACACACATGCATGGTTGGAATCACTCGCCAGCAGCATGTGTGAGCTCCTGCAATTTTATTTCAGAATACAAAAGAAAAGGTATCCTCTGTGTTCATGGCAAGCTTTAATTACCTTTCCCTCCTCCATATCCAGAGCCATAACCAGACCCGCTACCATAACCTGAGCCTGAGCCAGAGCCAGAGCCAGATCCTCCTCCTCCACCCCCACCACTACCACCACCACCACCACCACCTCCTCCCTGCCCTCCACCTCCACCTCCACTGATTGACTGCAGTGTCCTAGCAGCAAAGGTGAGGTCTAAAATAAGCAAGACGAGGAAAGCAGTCCCTAACACTCTTGGACTTGCCATTTCCAGATTATACTCTCACGGCTCAACGTATCTGTATGTTTATGCGTGTCACTCGCTATATGAGAAACCAGTATGTTTTGTTGACTGGAAATGCTTGAAGTGGCAACCCTATATATAGGCATTGTGAAGGTAGCAAGACAAGGCTTTTGAAAAGTATGGCATGAATTGTAAAGGTAACGAGACACGGATTTTGAAAGGTTTCTTAAATTCCTAGTACCTCTTGCTCGGTAATCTTACCTCTTATAGAAAGGAACGCGTGTTTCGGGTTTCTGTTTACGTCGAGGGTAAGGTTGTTAAATTTACAAGTTAACGTGTAAATTTTTATAATTAAATTAGACTAAAAACTCAATTAGTATAATTATACTTAAACTTGTGTAAAATAGATAAACTTGATCCAATTTTACGAGATTATTAAATTTATAATATAAACTAAATCAGGTTCATATTTAGTTTTAAAATATTTGTTAGTTAGTTTTGCAAAATTGAATATATCTTTCAAATTATATATTAGATAAAACTAAAATTTTACAAGAAAATATTAGATATATAAAAATATATTGTGATTAATTTTCAGATAAAATAAAATTAAGAAACATAATATTTCAAAGGGTCAAAGTTAGTAAATTAATTTTGTCAAATATATCAAATAAAACCTTTATATACTGTTCGAGATATATCTAGAGCTATCAATGGAATTTTATTTTGATTAAAGTTGAAAAAAAAACTAGGCATTTAAAACTTTCCAACTATATATTATAGGCCAAATAATTCATTCAAATAATATAGAACAACATATTTGAAATTATAACTCAAATCTATCAATGATATGCAAAAATTAAAGATTCAGACTACATAAAGAAATTTTATCATGAAGACTTTTTTATTATTCTATTTATTTATTTATTTTTAAATAATTATTTTTAATTTAAATTTTTTCTAGCATATTAGTCATTGTTCGGGGGTTTATTTCATTATTGAATTCATGTTAGTTAATTACTAATTTAAACTCATTATCTTGCAACCCAAAAAAAGTTTATCAGGATTTATTGTGATAAGAACAACCAGATTGTCACTATGTTTATGTGTGCTTCCTATCTTTCAGTGATTCCTCTATTTTAAGAAATTTTATTTTGAGACTTTTTATTTCTCAATATCATTAATTTATTGATCCATACTATCTATTTTTCTCATTTTATTAATATAACAAATTGATTATAATATTGTTGACTTATTTTATTTGATTTTAATGTAATTTAATTTTTTGACTAGAATTATAAATATATATATATATATATATATATAATTAAAAAGAATTACTTATGATTTTATGATTTGAGTTTACAATCCAAGTCCATGTTAAAAAAATATTTTTTTTTTCATTTTTTTTTGACTAAAAATTGTCTTATAATAATATTTGACTTCGAAAATGGGACCAATACCATGCACTTCCCACTCTTTATCATTTTGTTGATATTTTAACTCTCGATACATTTATAAATCAATTTATTGATATAAAAAACCTCAAAAATAAATTGGTGGTAGGAATATGCTAAAACGATAATTTTCATTCTCTAAGTTGGAATTGGGTGAAAATTTCTCTCTCCTTCACAAATTATAGACTTGAAAATAATAATAATAATAAAGTTATATATCAAAATTAAATTTATAAATGTGTAAGGGACCGGACAGTTCAAAATTTTAAAATGAAGTATTGGGTTGTACTTTTCACGCTAATTTTGAACACTCCACCTACTTTCAGCGTCTTTTCTATGCTGTTCCTCCTTTCAATTTTAACCCTAGGAACAAATACAAAGTAATTGGCTATTAACTTTGTAATTAAAGGACTCAATTGATGAAAACAAAAGTTAAGGGACCGAAATGGAAACAAGTAACAAAGACACTTCTCTAATCCGCCCTCCATTGTGAGTACGTGAACATGTTTAACACTGCTCGATACCCCCAAAATGTTTTAGTATGTTTGTTATTTGAAGTCCACTTTGACGGCGTCCTTGGAATTTTCCTACACTACCGCTTGTTTAGTGATTTGTTTATCTTAACATTTGTCTCGTAGAGCTTATGTTCCTCAACTACTACTAGGATTTATGTACACAGCTAGCTTTCTACTCTGCGTGTATGCTAACAATGGGCTAAACTTGCACAACAAACTAGGTTGTTCAGTCAATATTTCTTATTGCTGTTACATTTTGAATTAATAGATTTAAATTTATTTTCCCACAGTATCATAGACACTTTGCATCATTGAATATAAATAGTTCTGTACTTCGAAACCGTGTTCGAATGTCTGACTTGTAATTGAAAACCTTGGTGCCTGTTCTGGGGTGTTAAAACACCCCATCCTTGCATCACTGCTAGTGGAATGTAAGGCCATCTGCATGGTTGATACACTTAACAGTCCACAAATTGAATTTCAGTTCCATTCTCACAGAACATCACTTCCTTTGATCGATGCCTTGCTAGAAACACTAGAAGATCTGTACATCTAACAGGGGCTCAAGTATTGAAGCCAACAATTAAAACATACATAAAGAAAAAAGAACAAGAGAGAAAAATCTCACCTATAAAGAAGGCAAGCAAATTTCACATCGCAGCCTTTCATCTCTAGATCAGTTCATTTGAGAACGTCAAACTTGGCATCATGGCTCTCTTTTTATGCCAGAAAACAGCGCAGAGGCAGAGACCAACAATACACAATCATTGTATAAAATCTTAATATGCAATATACATACCTGTGTTCCTGTTGGAACACATCCTTTTAATTATTTCTCACTCTTCACCATTTTAAGTTCCAAAAATTTTGCAGAGAGACGTGTTGCTTTTGCTTGTATTATCTTTTTTCTCAGGAAGGTAACGTTCTTTAAATACAACAACAAAAGACTGTTATATGTTATTTGTGATATTTGATCTTTCTTTCTTTTTTCCTTGTATTGCACATACAAACACACACACACACCAGAATGGATGTTCTCCATTGCCATTTGAGATCCAGATAGTGCCCTGGTCTGAGACAATGAAAATGACTTTTGGTCCGTCTTCAAAACTTTCAAAATATAATTCCGATTTTACTATCACAAATAAAATAAATTTATAATATAATTGTAAAAATGAGGTCGAACCTAAGGTAAATTTCATTCAATCTTTTTACAATATACTAAAATAAAAAAAAAATTAAAGAAACAAAATTCTGAAAATAAAAATAATAAATTAATATGTCGTTATCTCAATTCAAAAGTCTAGACATCCATTCCTATAAATTTATTGATCATTAAGATAAACAAATATCCTTTTAATTCAATAAAATGAATTAGATGTCCTTTAAAATTAAGGGAAATCGAGAAGATTATGAGAAATTAATTAGATAAAGCTTTCCAATCAATTTCCTACCATTAAACAAATTTAATATTGAAAAGTAATTTTAATTCATTAGACAGTAATCTTAGGAGAAAAGTCTGTAAAATTTATTCTAAGCAACTGTTCAAAAACTTAAGCAATTTAACTTAGCTTATTTCTCCCTAATAAATTAAAGTTATAGTTACAAAAATTATGTTAAGTCCTTTGCTTCTTATTCTAGTCCTTAACAACAATTATAAATGGGAAGAAACTAGAAAACTCATCATATATACCATCTCAAAACAATTTAATATAAGCATAAACAAAAATCAGTAACATAATTATAAAATAAGGATAAGAAAGTATTTGAATATGAAGAAATTACAATGATAACATTATTTCTCACAACTTAATAATAGGAATGGTGTCTATTCCCATTGTACTAAAAGCCAAAGTTTAGCTCGTAGCTGCTTCAAAATTAATAAGCATATAGAGAAAAGAACGCTGTAGAGAAGAATAAGAGAGTTGTTTTTGACGTGATTTGCTTCATTTATTTCCTCTCTCAGTTGCTATCTTTTATTAGGATTCTTTTCCTAATTAGGTGTCCTTAATATTACTTATTCCTTCTTCTTTATCTGGGAATTAAAGTTGGTTAAATCTCTTATAACGTTTGTTGAAAACTAACTCTACTGTAACTCAGCCTTTGTTTCTAACTTAGCTTCTTGTAATATTTGGTCATTGCAGCTGTATTCTTTCATCCATGGAATGTTAGAGACTTCATTTGCAACTTTCTTAGATCTTAAGACGCATCGTTTCTATGTCAGACTCTCAATCGTAGTGGGAATCTTACCACCATTAGTTTCCTTATAATTAGATCACGAAACCAATTTTGTCTTTTAGCTTGCACCTGAATGTTTACCTTTAAAATGATTTTATCTAACATGAAATCCTTCATAAGAGTTGTATTCCTAAATATGTAGATGATTTTGAGCTTTCGAGCAATATAGTTTTAATATCTGAGGCTTAAGACATACCGATTTGAATATGTAATGTGAAAGCAGATAATTCTATTGCAAGTAGGATTTCGGTCCGATTTTATAGATCTGATTATAGATTCAAACTTTTACAGATAATACCTTGCTGGAATGCCTTTTATATGTACTTTAACTTTTGTTCATCCAACGCTTTAGCCCCACCTTCTTTTTTTTTTTTGACTTGGAAGCATCTTATAATATTTGACTTCGGCAATGAGACTAATAGCATGCATTCCCCACTTATTATCATTCTTTCCATATTTGAACTCCACTTTTGAGTACACGTATTTGTTTTCCATGTACTGGTAGCTGTCCTGCGGTGATTTATGCTAACGTTTGTCTCCTTAAGCATAAGTTTAAGTGATTTATGTACACAGATATCTTTCTACTCTGCGTGTATACTAACTATGGGCTAAGTTTGCACAACAAACTGGGTTGTTCAGTCAATATTTCTTATTTCTGTTACACTTGGAATTAATAGAATTGAA